CAATACCTTTATCCTTTATAAGATATCATCAGTTTTTCTGGGGTTTCCCATTTGAATTGGCAGCCTTTCTTCTTCAGTTTATCTGTCAGGAAAAGTAATCTCTTCTTTTCTTTATTGTCTGAGATGGAAATTATTTTAATACTGCAATCCTTGTATTTCCTATTTTAATTGGATCCCAAGCATGTTTGGTGGGGACGAGGGAGAGGGCCTTCTCGGTGATGGCCCCTGGGCTTTGGAACTCCCTCCCCAGAGAGATAGGAGAAGTCCCATCACTATCCTCCTTCCACAGGGATCTGAAATCTGGTGGTTCCAGCAGGCCTTTGAAAATGCTTAGCCCAGGCCCTACTCTGGCCATCAGCTAGGACCCTGCTCTGCACTTTATCCACTTCCCCAGCCCTAGGTTACGTTGTTACACTAGCCCTCGCCCTGCCCTTTCATAGCTGACTAGGTCCAGTTTGTAATTCTGGCCATTGGTATTTTGAATTCTGTCTGATGGAATAGTGCTGGAACTGGCTTTTAAATGTTTGTGATTGTTGTAATAGGTTTATGTTTATGTTTTATAATGGTCATTTTGTATGATTTTTGTGTTGGTAATTGAATGTTTTGCCCTATGTTGGAAACTGCCCCGAGTCCCCTCGGGGAGCTAGGGTGGTATACAAATAAAGTACTACTACCATCATCATCATCATCTTTGGTGTGGGCTTGCAAAACTTGGTTTTTTACTTTGTTGTAAAAAACACAACCACATCTCTTGGAAGTTTATTCCTTGCTGCATGTTGAGATTAGACCCTTTAGGTCCTGTCAATTTTAGTCTCAACCACTTGCTCTGGTCTACCAAGGATTCCAGCCACAAATTTGATTATTGCCATATCAAGTTCCAGTACTGATTTTAGTATTCCTCTCAACCTCAAAGAGTGTTCTCGTTGCAAATAATATAATCTTTGGAGTTGAGTTGAATCTCTTTGGAAATCCATTGGCTTCTTCTTTTGTGTCTCTTGAATTATTTTTATTTTTTGTTTTTGCTGTTCTTGCTATTTCAAAATACCACTCATTGTGTCTGCCATGTGTTGCGTATTTTTCTTCGTCTCTTGTTGCCCTTTCTGTAAATAATATTCAGTCAGTGTAATTGTTTTGTCAATCCTGGCCTCAATTTTTTTCATTCCATCTGTAATGCTTCTTAATTGGGTCTAGCTTTTCCTCATTGGATCTTCTTCTTGTGAAAAAGATCCTCTCTTGGAAGTTTCTTTCTGATCTCTCTGATCTTTGGATCTTGATCTTGTTGACTTTGCAGTCATTTCTGTAATCAAGCTGTCTTTAAAAAAACAACAGACATCCAATTTTCAAATGTTTGTTGTGATACCACTTTCACTTTTTCTGTATCTCTGTTTTCTGTATTTCAAGTTGTATTTCTAGTTTTATCGTTTTCTCTATGTCAGTGGTTGTCAACCTGTGGGTCCCCAGGCATTTTGGCCTACAATGCCCAGAAATCCCAGCCAGTTTACCAGCTGTTAGGACGTCTGGGAGTTGAAGGCCAAAACATCTGGGAACCCACAGGTTGAGGACCACTGCTCTATGCTTTTCTCTATGGTTTATCTCTATGATGACTTTTTGTATTGTTTGCTGTTTGGTGTCAGTCCAGAGGCTCCATGAGATCCCAAGATATTATGTCTATTGGTTTCTTAGGTATGTTGAACAGTTTTAATTTCCACAGTTCATATAGCATAATCTTGAACAAATTAGTTCACTTTCACCCTTTGTAGTTGGTTTTACCAAATAGTTTCATCAGGCCGACTTAAAAATTCATGAAGAATAATTCTACTGATTAGATTTTAAAGTTCTTTTTAAAAATCTCTACAATTTCCAATAGCGATGTTTATTGTTCCGAATACTCTGTTTACTTCCTGAATAGATTACTGCAACGCACTCTACATGGGGTTGCCTTTGAAGATGTTCGGAAACTTCAACTAGTCCAATGGGCGGCAGCCAGATTGCTCACTCGAGCATTATACAGGGAGCATACCAACCCCCTGTTACGTCAGCTCCACTGGCTGCCGGTCCCTTTCCAAGCACAATTCAAAGTGCTGGCCTTGGCCTATAAAGCCCTATACGACTCCGGCCTAGCTTTCTTGTCCGAACGTATCTCCCTCTACATTCCACCTCGTAATCTAAGATCGGCCAGGGAGGCCCTGCTCTCGGTCCCACCAGCTTCATAAACACGGCTGGTGGGGACAAGGGACAGGGCCTTCTCAGTGGTGACCCCCCGCCTGTGGAATTCGCTCCCCAGCAAAATTACATCAGCATCCTCCCTCCTTTCTTTCAGAGGAAAACTGAAGATGTGATTGTGGAACCAGGCTTTTGGCTAATTGGATATAATAGCACCTGAACAGTGAAATGGACCAGACAATTGTTATAATGGAAATCAAATTTTTGCCATTGTTGAGAAGAGCGGGATAGAAATTATGTAAATAAATAAATGCTGCGATTACTGTAGGTTTTAGTTAACCCAGTGGTTTCCAACCTATTTTTGACCAGGGACCACTTGACCAGGGACCACTTTCCAACATTAGTACCAAAAGGGTTACGAACCAGTTTTTGGTCAGCTTTAGATTCAGTTTGGTTATTTGGGATGCTGATTCAGAAAATTGCATTAGACAGACCACATCAGCTCTAGTTTCTGATACAGAATCTATGCCATCCAATAGTCGCCATCTGTTCGCCCACAGAAAACCATATTTAATAAGCCTTGGCACTATAAGAGGGTTTTTGGAGACCAGTCGCTCTTGTTGCAATGGTGAGGGCGCGGACCATATTTTAGTTCTTGCAGACCACTGGTGGTCCACGGACAACAGGTTGGGAACCACTGAGTTAACCAAATCTCAAGCAAACAGAACTCTCATGCATCCAACAAAAATGAAGAACTAATATGTACGTTAAATAAAAATGTAAATGCATGTACAATACAGTAAAACTGTGTTATGGAAAATGTATTGTCGAAGGCTTTCATGGCCGGAATCACTGAGTTGTTGTAGGTTTTTTCGGGCTATTAAAAGCAAACAAATTTACCATAACACAGGGTTGTTGTAGGTTTTTTCGGGTAATATGGCCATGGTCTAGAGACATTCTCTCCTGACGTTTCACCTGCATCTATGGCAAGCATCCTCAGAGGTAGTGTTGTAGGTTTTTTCGGGCTATATGGCCATGGTCTAGAACAGGGGTCCCCAAACTACGGCCCGTGGGCCGGATCCGGCCACCCGAGGGCATCTATCCGGTCCATGGGCTGTGGAGAAGGGTGAGAGGCGGGTGAAGGGGGAGGGAGGCGGTGGGCGAAGAGGGGAAGGCATCTATCCGGCCCACGGGCTGTGGAGAAGGGTGAGCGGCAGGTGAAGGGGGAGGGAGGCGGTGGGCGAAGAGGGGAAGGCGGCGGGCATAGCGGCTTGGGCCTGCTTTGCCCGTCGCCTCCGTTGGCCCAGCCTCTCCTCCCTTCGGGATGCGTCCAGGATGCATCCCGGAGGCAGGAGAAGGGGGGGGGCCTTAAATCCAGTCATGTTCGACTCTGGGACTCTGCTGCTCATCTCCATTTCTAAGCCGAAGAGCTGGTGTTGTCCATAGACACTTCCAAGGTCATGTGGCCGGCATGACTGCATGGAGCGCCATTACCTTCCTGCCAGAGCGGTATCTATTGATCTACTCACATTTGCATGTTTTCAAACGGCTAGGTTTATATTTATTCTAAATTGCTAAGTTTATATTTGTTAAAATAGTTCTTCATTTTAATTATTGTATTATTTAAAGTGTTTTTTGCACTACAAATAAGATATTTGAGGTGTGGATAGGAATTCATTCATTTTTTTTTTCCAAATTATAATCCGGCCCTCCAACAGTTTGAGGGACTGTGACCCGGCCCTCTGTTCAAAAAGTTTGGGGACCCCTGGTCTGGAAGCATTCTCTCCTGACGTTTCGCCTGCATCTATGGCAAGCATCCTCAGAGGTAGTGTTGTAGGTTTTTTTGGGCTATATGGCCATGGTCTAGAAGCATTCTCTCCTGACGTTTCGCCTGCATCTATGGCAAGCATCCTCAGAGGCAGGCGAAACGTCAGGAAAGAATGCCTCTAGACCATGGCCATATAACCCGAAAAAACCTACAACAACCCTGCGTTATGGTAAATTTGTTTGCTTTTAATTACTGTACTTCAATATGAGTATCGACTCAATGAAGAGTTTATGATATGGTACTGTATGGGTATAGTATTAGTTAGGGCTATTTTAATAGTAACTCTCAAGCAACCAGAAATTTATTATTATTATTATTATTATTATTATTATTATTATTATTAACTACATTTCTATACTGCTTTTCTCAACCCTGGGGGGACTCAAAGCGGTTTACAACATAATAAATGGCAAATTCAATACCTCACATATATATAAAAAAATATCACATATCTAAATCAATAACATATAACTGTGGATAAAAATCATTCAAACTATAAAAGCATCAAACATAAGCATGAAACATATTATTGCTGCAATTAACAATGTAGGCCCCTTCTCTTCTCCCCCACTCCCCAACTCTCTACATTTATCCATCATCTTCTAATCCCATGGATGCCGGTTAACTGAGAGTTTACTGTATCGTTACATCATTATCATTGTTGTTGTTGTGGTGGTGGTTGTTATTACATGTATATGATCGCTTGTTCCCCAGTATTAGGAGTCAATGCAGCTTACAAACATTAAAATCAATACACCTAAGACACAAAATGATAAATAAAAACAAAAAGGTATTATTAAAATGCAAATAAATTGTCCATGAAATTAAAACCAATCGAAAGGAATCCCAAATTACGCACTTTTACAAAAGTCCTGGCAGTCAATTTCTAAATGGACTCATTGAACAAAAACCTTTGGACACATCAGATAAGTGATACCAGAAGCCAAAGCTGATACAGAAACATAAATACGCTCACAAACAAGGATGATATATAGATGTGAATACTTACACAAAACTGCCTCATGATTTTTGTGCGCAAGGATGGGAAGACTAATCTTTGGCCTTTTCCGCTCTCCTTTTCCAAGGCAAGGGTTCCAATGGAAAGATACGTGAGCAAAAAGAGAGCAAGCCGCCCGAGGCAAGAGCGCAATGGCTGCCCCTCGCAACTGCCAATCAAAGGCTTCTCAAAGGGACTGCGCATCGAGCTGCCAGGGTTAATCGGGACTGTGTTGCTAACATTAGCCGGCAAAGCCACCTAATCGCTTGGAGAAGGCCTTCAAATCCACCTGCGGCTTTGGGCACAGATGATTTTCCGACTCCTCCCCAAAGCCAGCCACCTTGTTGTGCTTCACCACTGTCGCTCCACACTTGGTGTTCTGAAATCTAACATAGGCATGGGCAAACTTCAGCCATCCAAGTGTTTTGGACTTCAACTCCCATAATTCTTAACAGACTACCAGCTGTTAGTAATTGTGGGTATATTTAGCTTGGAGAGAAGAAGGTTGAGAGGGGACATGAGAAACATGTTTAAATATTTGGAAGGAGGTCATGTTGAGGAGGGACAAGCTTGCTTTCTACAATGCCACGGAGCCACAGATCCAAACTGCAAGAAAATGCATTATACCTAAACATGATGAAGAACTTCCTAATGGTGAAAGATGTAGAGCAGCAGCAGCAGCAGCAGCAGCAGCAGCAGCAGCAGCAGCAGCAGCAGCAGCAGCAGCAACAACAACAACAACAACAACAAAACAGAATACACTGCTTCCTTGGAGTGTGGTCTCTCTCACCTGCACTTAGCAGGTCTGGAGGGGAGAGACAAAGCTACAAGACGGACACATGGGCCTGCTGAAGTTACCCATCATAATCCAGGTGGAAGATATACCAGGTCAGGTGCTAGGCAAGAGAAGCAGATGATCTCATGGGTTCATTCCAGCTAAAGTAGACTTGTTTCATTCATTGCTGAATGTTGAGTCATGATTTCTGCAAATCCCACTGACTCAGTGGTTCTACTTGGGTTGTAAGTAAGAGCCATAGGTCCAGACCAAACATAGCTACTGCATTCAGTTTCCGAATCCATTAGATTACCAGATACATCCATAGCTTGGGAAGTTAACTTTTGGGGATGCCAACTCCCCACTAGCCATGTTGGCTGCAGGATTCTGGAAGTTCCCTTCCTCAAAAGTTACCTTTTCTCCACAAAGTACATAGAAGAACATGAACACGCCATGGCAGCAGAATCACAATGGGGCAGTGCCATAGACAATGTAGGTCCAATATCAATTCTGTATTTGGCACATTTGTTATGCCTTGTCTGCAATCCCAGATCCTTCCAGACAGCTGTAGGATGTTATGATCTGTAGGTGGAGATATGCTGCACCAGTACTGTGCAACCCCATAAAGAATAGCAACATTCTGCGACACATGTAAATGGCTGGGTGCTATTTTTCAGTCCACAATGTGAAATTATAGAGTGCATAAGGATGCATACACAGCCTTTATTGGCATTCAACAACCAAACTGCCATACAACACAGGTATCTACAAGAGGAAGTCACAGATAAAAAGAAAACAGACTTAAAAGTTACCAGTCTCAAGGATAAAATTTGCAACAGTCTCACAAAAGAATGCATCAGAGTTGTTCAGAAGATATGTGTCGCGTTTTATCTCACAATTCAGCAGCAGATCCGTTGCACAACTTCAGCGCTTTCCAGTAGCTTCTTCCTGCACAGTATTTTCAGTCAACTGCTCCCACAAACTGCAGTTGCACTGGAACTATTTACAGGCACTTGAGCACATGCCCGGCTATTGTCAGTTTTACTATTGTTTTCTCCTCCAATCTAGATGACACTACAAACTTACCACAGCACACGGTTATATCTTGTCTTAGCAGACAGGTTCCTTTAATAAATTACACAGAGCCTTCGGCAAACAGCATCACAGCACAAGGAGAGAGAATACACTGTACATGACTTCCTTATATACAAATCTGTACATTTACACATAGCAATCTCTGATTGGTTCCCAACTCATTGACTTAACTCAAACCAGGATTGCATCATCAACACTCATTTGGACCAGGCCAGAACACATTCCCCAAATGATTCCATATATACAGTTAATGCATGACTCAGCATTTCCAATAGAAGCCTATTAGCAGTGCATGACTCAGCTATATTACATTACAATACATTGTAAAACCTGGAATTTTATAACACCCTTGCCACTAAGAACACTGTGAAAAAAATTGAATTCCAAGTCACAACAACAAACCCTTTTGGAACATTCCAATATTTAATATCTCCCATCCAAAAATGCTGTTGGCAACGCATTACATCTTGCAGTTGCGAAATCTCTCCTCTGGGCGGATTAATCAAAATGTGAAGATACGCTGTCATGGAATTAATGATGTGGTAGGGGAACAAGTTGTCTTTGCTGCAGGAGTCAGATTATGGAAGTCAAGATCCAAAAGTTTGTTCTTGACTGACTTGCAGGCTTCCACGTTCTGCAATCAATAAATTATTTAATATACCACATTCTAAATTTCTCCAGAAACTAATAGGTTTCCCTAGATGTGTGCCTTATTCTATTCACTGAGACAGGTCAAACATTCTTGAAACCTTGGCATGGATGAGAGCTATAAAATTCTGGCTGCTTATAGCTGCTTTGAGTCCCTTTTGGGGGGATAAAGTGGGGTATAAATAAATATAATAATACATAATAATAATTTTCAAGCAGACCCTGATAGCTATATTCCCTCTCTGTTATCAGATAATTTTATTTCAGAATGGTATTTGTTGATTCCTAGAAAGATTGAAGCAATTGGCCTGTCTTTGGATGAACTCTTAATTCTCACAAATGTAGAATCCAGTGCATAAGTATAATGTGGTATGCACAACTCTGCTTCTACTATTGGCTATGTGTTATGATGAATCATTTGCCCTGCATACGTAGCATGACTTGGGCCTTCATTGGAGACGCAGCTAATACTCCAGAGAACAGGATCAGAATCCAAAATAACCTCAACAGAAAACTGGGCTGAAATAAACAAAATAAATTTCAATAGGAAGAACTGTACTAGTACTACATTTAGGCAGAAAGAAATTGAATGCACAGATATAGGATGAGTTAGACCTGGCTGGAAAACAGTACATGCAAAGGCAGCCTAGGAGCCATAGTAGACCACAAGCTGGACATATGACAACAGTATGGTGTGGCAATGCCAATGCAATGCTAGCCTGCACGAATACTACAATAGTATCTAGATCAGTGGTTCCCAACCAGTGGTCCATGGACCACCAGTGGTCCCCAAGACCAAAACAATGGTCCCAGAAATATTTCTTACGCCTGCAATGGTTCCCAACTTGTGGACCATGGCCTCACTGTTACTACAGCATTGTAACGAGAGTGACAGGTCTTGTGAAACTATCTTATAGTGCTGAAGCAATGGGGATGTCAGAAGGAGAGAGGCTGACTGCCTACGAAAGGTGCGACAACAAGCCTTCTGACTTCTGCTTCTCCTCCTCCTCCCTTCTCTTGAGTGGAGCCATTCCATGTGGTGCCTGGAAGCAGGGGCACCTTGGTGTCTTCGTTTTTAGGCCTGTTCCTGGGGTTATTTGGGGTGCTGATTCAGAAAATTGCATTGGATAGACCACATCAGCTCTAGATATGGTTTTCTGTGGGTGAGTAGATAGAGACAACTGGATGACATACCTTCTGTATCAGAAACTAGAGCTGATGTGGTCTATTCAATGCAATTTTATGAATCAGCACCCTAGATAACCAAACCAAATCTAAAGTTGGCCAAAAACTGATTCGTAATCCTATTGGTACTAATGTTAGAGAGTGGTCCCTGGTCAAGAGGTTCTTGGTCAAGTGGTCCCTGGTCAAAAATGGTTGGGAACCACTTATCTAGATTGAGGGAAGTTCTAGTCTCCCTCTCTTCTGCTTTGGTCAAACCTCACCTGGAATAACCCTATGTCCAGTTCAGGGAAAAGCAATCCAAGGTGGTCCAAATGGAACACTGTCCAGAGAAGGGTGACAAAAACAATGAAATGCTTAGAAGTCAAACCCTGTGAGGAGCACCATAGGGAGCTGAGTAAGTTTAGCTTGGAAAAAAGAAGGCCGAGAGGGGACATAATAGCCATGTTTTAATGTTTTAAATGATGTCCATTGAGGAAGGGATAAGCTTCTCTTTTGTTGCTCTGGAGACTAGATGGAGAAGTGGTTTCAAATTGCAGGTGAAGAGATTCCACCTGGATATTAGGAAGAAAGTTTGGCCCGCCCCTTAGTAAAACAAAAGAGATGTCTTACAGTTCGGGACCTTATTAGCACAATTTAGAACAGAAAAAGAAAAACAGTATTTTGTAACTTTCCTCTGACTATACTAGATCTTTAACATACTGAACAGGTATGTTAAAGATATAGATATAGGAGTCCCCGGTGGTGCAGTGGGTGCCGGCAGGACTGAAGACTGACAGGTTGCAGGTTTGAATCCGGGGAGAGCACGGATGAGCTCCTTCTATCAGCTCCAGCTCCCCATCCGGGGACATGAGAAAAGCCTCCCACAAGGATGGTAAAACATCAAAACATTTGGACATCCCTTGGGTAACGTCTTTGCAGACAGCCAATTTTTTCACACCAGAAACGACTTGTAGTTTCTCAAGTCACTCCTGACATTGGGGGGGGGGGCAATGAGGAGGTTTGTTTTATGCCAAGGAGAACGACATTGTGTCATCTTATTGATATAGTGCTTCCGAAGACAACAAAGGGATACAATGATTCCACTTGGGTTTGGTTCCAGGGTATCTCCAAAGATACCAACATCTATGGATTTCTGAGCCCCATTGCATACAATGACGTAGCCAAACGATACCTATACAAAACAGCATGTAAATACACAAGAATACATATAGCTCAGTGAGAAGAGAGGCGCAAAATGGATCTCGCCCAGTTCCCCAAATATTTCCAAACAGCCTTTCCGCTTGTGCCATCGAGACCTGTCTCAATTTGCAAAGGTCTCCAAGATCCAGACTTCAGGGTATGTTTGATTCTCTGGGGATAATCTCGGCCAAGTTATAAGAGCGTTTTAGCTCTGCCTTCGCCTCTTGACCACACCGAGCTAAGAGGCAGCGTTGTGTAAAAGTTTAATGCGATCACGCGGCCCAGGTTTGGCCTGTCCTTATTTT